GTCCCAGGCGTGCTAACTTCTGCATACTCATTACTTACAATCCCCGGCTTTTGTGCTTTGCTTTTCATCATTAGATCTCAAAGCCTTTTACCGACAGGGGCAGGATCACTATTCCCACTTTAGAAAAGAGGGAACTACAAACCAGATCTAATGTCCCTGGTTTTGCACTCAGCTGGGAGGGAGGAGAACTGAGCTGAAGCAGAGAAAAATTCAGATTTTGGTATTACTCTGAGGAGTGTAGGAACCTTGTTCCCATAGACTCTCGAACTCTATTTTGATAAGGTTGGACAGACATCTATCGGGGTGATCTAGACGATGCTTTGTCCAGCCATGAGGGCATAGGACAGGACTTGATGACCTCTTGAGGTCCCTTCCAGTTCTACTGTTCTAGAACTGAGAAATGTTAGCTCATTTATTTACAGATGGGGAAACTGAGGCACTGTTATGTGACTTTCACACAGCAAGTCAGTGACATAGGATAATCAACAACTCCTAATTTCCCATCTGCTAGAACAGGCCATAGCTGAGATAGTCAAAGCTACCTAAGGGGCCAATTTAGAAAGCCTTTAGATGCCCAAAGGGATTGTTCAAAGGGGCTGCGTGTCTAGCATAGATTAGAATCTGTTATTTGTAGTGGTCTGAATGATTCTAAATGTCTCTCTTGGTGCTTAAATATCTTCAACAAGCTAGTGCTTAGACAACCAAATTCCCATGGAAATGAGCAAGGGCTGGGCAGCTGGGTGGTGCTTTGCGTAGTGAAAACCTCAGCCTGCTTCTAACCGCAATGATCACTCCATGTTTACATTTGTATTTTGTGGGCTCACTGAGTCAAATCCGCACCAAAATCTGCAGATCTCATACTCCACTCCCGCCCATGCATGCAAGAGTTTCAAAAATGAAATGAAGGACAGAAATTGAGAGAAAAAAAGTGAGAGAGAGACCGTGGGAACATGTTAGACATGGACCAATTACTGCACACAGGAAACCTTTTCCTTCCAACCCGATATGGCCCAGTTGTACATTTTAAAATATAGAAAAGTATTTATTAATATTTCTTTTTTTTCTTTCTCACACTCATGCTCACGCTCATGCCCAGGCCCATGCCCATGCCCACACACATAATCTGGAGGACTTGGCTTATTAGCATTTGCTCAGAAAATCAGTCAGAAGAGACCCAGCCCTTCACACTGTATCTTGTTCCTTTAACATTTCTTGGATTCCGAGGAAAAAAATGCCTTGCTAATGGGGGTGCCATAGATTTCCCCCAGTCATAAATCCAACATGTAAAGACTTCAGAAACGTCCTCCTACGTATGGCACAGATTTCTGTACTGATTTGAAACTCACTCCATGAGTATTTAATCCTCCCCCTCCTACCTTTCCCCTTACCTGTTTGTGTACTGACGGCAACTCAACAATCCTACAAATAAGCCTAATTTATATTCCTTGGATGTGCCTTTGGGATTTGGTCTCAACAGAATTTCACGATTTTTTCCACAATGTGCCAGCCCCTGGCCGACTAAGAACAGTGCTCTCGATTAAAGACAAGCCATGGGGATTAGAAAACCTTGGTCCTGTATCTCCCCTGACTTGCTGATGGATCACCGTGTGATTGTTACTATTCCTTGGGCCTCACTGTGTCCTTCTGTAAAAGAAAAAAGGCTGGATTTGTAAAGAGATTCACACGCCTCCTATGAATGTAAAACCCGCTCGCATCTGTTCCTGTGAGGTACTCCTCTACTTCTCATACTCACATCATGTGTCTAAATACCTTTAGAGTTCTGGCCGTATGCAGCTGGCCCAAATTAAGAAACAAAGTCAAAATATCGACAAGCCATAAAGTGGTGAAATATACATAAGTATATAGAACCAGAGATCAGAATGTAAAGATATTCAGAAGTCTCAAGATAGGTAGTAAGGTACCTAGTGGGAAGTTCACAAGTCAATAATATGGTTAAATCATAGAATAGATTTATAGAATCCTAGGGCTGGAAGAGACCTCAGGAGATCATGGAATCCAGCCCCATGCCCAAAGCAAGACCAAGCACAGCTCAATCATCCCAGCCAGGTCTTTGTCAAGCTGGGATTTAAACACCCCAAGGAATGGAGATTCCATCCCCTCCTGAGGAAATCCATCCCAGTGCTTCCCCACCCTCCTAGTTATTAATTTTTTCCTAGTAGACAATCTTGACCTCCCTCACTGCAATTTGAGACCATTTCTCCTTGTTCTGCTCTAGATCTCCTTGGAATTCTCCTCCTAGTGCAGCTCAATATGCCATTAGCCTTTTTGTCTAGAAGGCCACCCTGTTGACTCATATGCAGCCTCCCATCCACTGGAATCCCCAGGTCCTTTTCTGCCGAACTGCTATTTAGCTAGTCGGTTTGAGCCTGTACCAATGCTTGGGATTCTTCTGTCCTAAGAACAGGTCTCTGCACTTGTCCTTATTGAACCTCATCAGATTTCTTTTCTCCCAGTCCTCTAATCTGTCCAGGTCACTCTGGAACCTATCCCTGCCATCCAGAATATCTGCCTTTACCCCAAGCTTACGATCATCCACAAAACTTGCTGAGGATGCAATCCATCCCCTCATCCAGGTCATTAAGAAAGATATTGAACAAAACAGGCCCTAGAGCTGATCCTTGGGGAATCCCTCTAGAAACCGACTGCCAACCAGACATTGAGCTGTTGATCACTACCTGTTGGGCCCGACAGTCTAGCCAGCTTTCTATCCACCTTACAGTCCATTTCTCCAATCCATACTCCCTTAACTTGCTGGCAAGAATATTGTGGGAGACCGTATCAAAAGCTTTGCTAAAGTCAAGATAGGTCACATCCACTGGCTTCCCCATCTGCAGCCTCTCAGTCAGTTACCTCATCATAGAAGCTAATCAGGCTGGCGTGGCATGACTTGCCCTTGGTGAATCCATGTTGGCTATTCCTGATCACTTTCCTCTCTTGTACATGTTTCAAAATGGATTCCTTGAGAATCCCCTTCATGACTTTTCTGGTGACTGAGAGTATAGAACTCCATCTGAATTCAATAGGATTTAGATGTTTCAGCCAATGAGATGATTTAGTTGGGGTTGGTCCTACTTTGGGCAGGTGGCTGGGCTTGTTTGCTTCCTGAGGTCCCTGCCAATGCTATGATTCAATGAAAATTGCACAAGGCACCTAATTACTAAAGGGTATGTCTGGAGTACATGGCTCCATTGACGGAGCCATGTAGATGAGTTTACTAGACATAGGAAAATATAGCGGCAATTAAAATAATCACCACTTCATTTACATCAAAATGGTTGCCACGCTGTGCCGCTAAACAGTTGATCGGCACAGCGTGGCAGTCTGGACACGCCGCTGTCAACAAGGGAAGCCTTTGTCAACCTCTCCATTATGCCTTGTGAAATGTCCTATGTCTAGTAAACTCAACTACATGACATACCCATAGAAAATTTATCTCTAGTTCCCACAAAAATTGTATATTGGCTGTTGCATAAACACCAAACATGATTCTGGGCTGCATTAACAGTAGTGTTGTGAGCAAGAGATGAGAAGTATTTCTTCTGCTCTACTCTGTGCTGAATGGGTTTCATTTGGAGTATTGAGTCCAGTTATGGGCACCACTTTTCAAGAAAGATGTGGAGAAATTGGAGAAGATCCAGAGAAGAGTAACAAGAATGATTAAAGGGCTAGAGAACAAGAGCTCCAAGGAAAGACTGAAATAATTGGGCTTGCTTAGTTCAGAAAAGAGAAGACTTAGAGGGGTCATGATAGCGGTTTTCAAGTATCTAAAAGGGTGTCAAAAGGAGAAGGGGGGGAGGGAATTGCTCTCCTTGGTCTCTGAGGATAGGGCAAGAAACAATGGGGTTAAATTGCAGCAAGGGAGGCTTAGGCTGAACAACTTCCTAAATTTCAGGGTGGTTAAGCACTTGAATAAATTGCCTCAGGTAGTAACCTAAAAGCAAACCAGCCCCAGGAAAACCCCGGGGATCCCACAGGTTCACCTGGTGGCCTATAAACAAACCAGCCAGGGTTGTGCTGCTGGCCTAAAAGTAAACTGGTCACAAGGTGAACCTCTAGGATCTAAGGGGGTTGACCTGGTGGCTCTTTTGGTTTGGGACTACCACTCCAACGTTATTGGATCCTATAGAATGATCGACTGGACCAAAAGCAAACCAGCCATAAAGTTACCTCCATTGAATCCTATGAATTGACTTCCTGGCCCAAAAGCAAACTGGCCACCAGGTCCACCCCAACAGGTCCCTTCCTGAAAGGAGGTTGGCCCTCAGATCAGCTCTTTTGGATTCTGTGGGTTTACCTGGTCCCCTAAATGGAATCTGGCCATCACAACAACCCCTTAGATTCTATGGAGTGTGGCAGGGTCAGTCCCACTCCTGGGCCCCTGACCCCTGTTCAGCCCACTGTCCTGTAGAATAGCAGTCACAGTATATGGCTCACTCGCCTTGGTTTGAGATTTGTTGTCTCCCTGTCGTCTTTAACAAGGTCGATGCTGCTCTCCTGGCTCCTCCGGTGTCTTTCTCTTCCCAAACTCCTCCTCAGCTCTCTCTCCCCTCACCAACAGGGAGAGTTCTTAAATAGTTCTTCAAGCAGCCCCAATTAGTTTCACCCCGGCCTTAATTGATTTTGCAGCCGCCCTGTCTCAGCTGCCCCTAATTAGCCAGGATTGCTGATTCTCTCTGCAAGAGCTGCCTCTTTCCCCTTCCACCAAGCTCTTTAGCCTGCTGTGTTACCCCTGCTCTGTCACAGGGGTTGACCTGGTGTCCTGAAATGAAGCTGGCCATCAGGTCAACCATGTTTGATTTTATGGGTTTACCTGGTCTCCTGAAAGGAGGTTGGCCATCAAGAGAACCCTTTTGGATTGTATGTGATTTCCTGTTCACGGAAGCTGGACCTCTGGTCACCCTTTTGGATTCTATGGGTTTACCTGGTCTCCTAAATGGAATCTTGCCATGACATCAACCATTAGATTCTATGGGGTTTACCTGGTGTACTGAAATGAAGAAGGCCATCAGGTCAACCTCATTTGATTCTATGGGTTTACCTGGTCTCCTGAAAGCAATTACAATCAGGTTAACCCTCTTGGATCCTATGGGTTTATCTGTTGTCCTGAAAGGATGCTGACCATCAGGTCAAGCCCATTGGATTCTATGGGTTTACCTGGACACCTGAAAGGAGGCTGGCCATCAAGTGAACCCTTTTGGATTGTATGGATTTACCTATTGTTCTGAGAGGAAGCTAGCCATCAGCTCAACCTCATTTCAACTTGTGGATTTACCTGGTCACCTGAAAAGAAGTGGCCATCAGGTCAATTATGTTGGATTATATGGGATTACCTTGTCTCCTGTAAGTAAACTAGGCATCAGATCAACCCCTTCAACTTTGTAGGGGTTTACCTGGTGTCCTGCCAGCAAATAGCTCCCAGGCCAAACCTATTGCTTACTATGGGTTTAAGTGCTGCCTTCCAAGCCACCAGGTCAAGCCCACAGGGCTAGATAGCAGTCTCACTCCAGCCATACAGCCACCCCAGCCTAGGAGCGAGGGGCAAGCACCCTTAGGACTTCCAAACCCACATAGAAAGCCCTGGGAAACCTCCCCATTGTCACTTGCAGGTCACAAGGCTCTTGCTCTTGACTATTTACATATGATGGCCAAGACACAGAGGCCTCCCTTGATGGCTTTCTATCACACACTGAACAATCCAAAAGGATTTCTCATTCCATGTGTCTAATTTAAGCACAGGAGTGACACAGACACCGAAATAAGAGAAATAGAAGCAGCAGGTCATGACTTGGAGGTTGACGGGTGACATGAAATCTTTTGCTGAAAGCCCCTTTGAGTTATGGATCTTCATGAGGGGTTTGGCAACCCAGATGGGAGTGCTTGGTTGAGGGAGGGCATGCACAATCGGGAGCCAGACAAATAGGGGGCAGTCTGGCACTGCTGAGACAAGGGGGAAGGATATGAGACGGGTTGAGGAAAGGGGTAATGGGGTAAGGGTGGGGTTGTGGTGTGAGAGGGGAAGCAAAATAGAGTGGGGGTTTGGTGACTGGCATTTTCTAGGAACTTCTCCAGTCTCCCAATGTATTCCCAAATATACTCTGTGACAGAGTGTGGGAGGAACACAGCTCCTTTGATAATCGCTTAGATTGGAAGCTACAGATTTACTGTCCTAAAAGCAGGATGGATATCAGGTCAACCCCATTGAACATTGTTGGTTGACCTGATGGCCTGAATGCAAGGTGGCCACCAGGTCAACCAAAATGGATTCTGTGAGTTTATCCAGTCTCCTGAAAGGCAGTTAGTTACCAGGTGAACCCTACAAGAGTCTATAGGTTTACCTGCTGTCATGGGAGGAATCTGGCCATCAGGTCAATCCTTTAGATTCCATAGGGTTTACCTGGTCTCCTGAAGGGAAGCTGGCCATCAGGTCAAAATATTTGGATCCCCAAGGTTTACCTGGGGTCTTAAAAAGAATATGGCCAACAGGTCAACTCCATTGGATACGTTGGGTTTACCTGGTGCCCTAAAAGGAAACTGGCCATCAGGTCAACCATGTTGGATTCTATGGGCTTACCTGTTGTCCTGAAGAAAGCTGGCCATCAAGTCAACCTTTTAGATTCCATAGGGTTTACCCAGTTTCCTGAAAGGAAGGGGGCCATCAGGTAAAAAAAAATGGATCCCTTGGGTTTACACAGAGTACTAAAGGGTATATGGCCACCAGGCCAACCCCATTGGATACTATTGGTTCACCTGGTGCCCTAAAAGGAAGCTGGCCATCAGGTCAACCTTTTAGATTCTATAGAGTTTACCTGGTCTCCTGAAAGGAAGCTGGCCATCAGGTCAAACTGTATGGATACCTGTGGTATACCTAGTCTCCTAAAGGGTATCTGGCTACCAGGTGAAACCCATTGGATACTATGGCTTCATCTGGTAACCTAAAAGGAACATGGTCATCAATCTATTTGGATCCCCAAGATTTACCTGGTGTTCTTAAAGGTATATGGCAACTAGGTTGACTGCATTGGATACTACGGGTTCACCTGGTGACCTAAAAGAAAGCTGGCCATTACGTCAACCCTGTTCCATTCTATAGGGTTTACCTGTTGTTCTGAAAGGAACGTGGCCATCAGCTCAACTCAATTGGATCCTATGGGTTTACCTGGTGTTCTGCAAGCAAACCAGGTCCCAGGACAAACCTAGGGCATACCATGGGTTTAACTGCTGCCTTCAAAGCCACCAGGTCAACCCCACAGGTCTAGACAGCAGTCTCACTCCGGCCATACGGCCATCCCAGCCTAGGAGCGAGGGGCAGGCGCCCTCAGGACTTCCAAACCCACAGACAAAGCCCTGGGGAACCTCTCCCATTTATACTTGCTGGTCACAAGGCTCTTGCTCTTGTTCTACAGGAGGCTGAAGGAAACCCCCCTGTTATACACTCAGCAATGAGGACTCCCTCCGTGTGGGCAGAGGGGAGACCCAGCGCTCCAGGGACGAGGTGTCTGTGGACGTTCCTGCCGGAGCAAAGAATGTCGGCAGGCGCGACTCTGCCATAGACGGAGTCATCACCACTTGAGCAAGCTGGATTCTCCGCAACCTCAGACACCCCTTAACGCCAGTGGACGTGACCCTGACTCTGAGAGAGACCCCCGGACAGGGAGGCAGATGGGATGTCCCTCGACTGGGCCCCCCGGGGCGAGATTCAGCCCAGCCGTGGCGGGATACACAAGGTAGAAGGTGGAGAGGGGACTGGGGGACAGAACCAGGCTGAAGGACTTCTGGGCTCTGATCCCCTCTCTGCACCAGCCTGAGCCCCCCAACTCAGGACTTTTCCCAGCATGTAACCAGCCAAATATTTCCAGCATGTAACCAGCCAAATAAACCATGTGACACAGCTCCGGGCCAAGCCGTCAGAATGAGGGGAGGGAAAAGGACAGCCCTGCCTCCGCCCAGGCTGGGCAGGGAATCCCCCCAGCCTTCTGGAACTCTCCTGTGGGGAGAGAGCTGGAATTCCAGCCCTTTGGGGCTTCCAGAGCCAGGTTCCACGGCAGTTACACTGAGGGCCAGAGAGAGCGGGGGAACCCCAAAACCTGTCTCCTGTGATTGGGAGCAGATCCCACAGATTCTCTCCCAGCAGATTTCAGATTAACGTGTTTGTCTCTGTCTATTTTTTCTCTTTTTTAATAAAAACCCGATTTTAAATATTCCATATTTTTTACCTTTTCCTATATATAGTCATGTGTGTGTCTTCCTTTATTTGATTGTCATACACATTTATTACCGTTCTGCAAGGGTCTGTGGTTTTCTATTTCCTTTCATTATTTTCATTGTGTTTTAAATCACGTTACCATTGCCAAATGACTATATTTGTTGTTATTTTATTTCTAATATTTTAGTACTTTGCAATTGGATTGTGACTATTGTTATTTCACTTTATATTTTAAAATTTAGTTCCATGTTTTGTTTTATTTTATTTTCAATCTCTTGGACAGCCTTCTTTTGGGGACCTTTCCCTGTCATAGTTTGGAGACCCAGAAACCAGGCCTGTGTCCCTTCCTCATAGCCATGTCCCATGCCGGGTGTCTGGCCTCTGATTCCAGCCATCCCCTCTCGCTGAGCCTCATTTGTGACCCCGGGTGGGGGCTGGTTCATGTGTTAGGGAGAAAAGGCTGAGCTGCATTTTCAGATCTCTCAGCGTAACCAATTGACAGTGAGTGAGACTTCTAGGGAGCAAGGGAGACTGAAAGGGGGGTTCAGAGCAGCATCATGCCCCTACTGAATCTCTGGCCTCCAGCCCCACAAAGCTATTCAGGGTCTGTGGGGACTTGTGCTCTTCTGTGGCCTGGTGGGAAATAGGGATTTGACACTTGACCAGGAGGAACACTGGGCATGGTGACATTGGGTTGTATGGGTTTACCTGCTGTCCTGGGAGGTATCTGGCCAACTCTGTATATTCTATAGGGTTTACCTGGTCTCCTGAAAGGAAGCTGGCCATCAGGTCAACCCATTTAAATCCCCTGAGTTTACCTGATGCCCTAAAGAGAATCTGGCCACCAGGTCAACCCCATTGGATTGTATGGATTTACCTGCTGTCCTGAGATGAATCTGGCCATCGGGTGAACCCCTTAGATTCTATAGGGTTTACCTGGTGTTCCAAAAGGAAACTGGGTGGGGGCTGGTTCATGTGTTAGAGACAAAACTCTGAGTAGCATTTTCAGCTCACTCAGTGTAACCAATTGACAGTGAGTGAGACTTCTAGGGAGCAAGCGAGACCCGAAAGGGGGATTCAGAGCAGCATCAAGATGCCATCGAATCCCTGGCCTCCAGCCCTACAAGGCTATTCAGAGTCTGTGGGGACTTGTGCTCCTCTGTGGCCTATTGGGAAGCAGGGATCTGGCATTTTACCAGGAGGAACACTGAAGACGGTGACACTGGATTGTATGGGTTTACCTGCTGTCCTAGAAGGTATCTGGCCATGAGGTCAACTCCTTAGATTCTATAGGGTTTAACTGGTCTCCTGAAAGGAAGCTGGCCATCAGGTCAACCCATTTGGATCCCCTGGGTTTACCTGGTATCCTAAAGGGACTCTGGCCACCAGGTCAACCCCACTGTATACTATGGGTTCATCTGGTTACCTAATCGGAGGGCAGCCATTAGGTCAAGTCTGTTGGATTCTATATGTGTACCTCATGTCGTGAAAGGCGGTTACACCAATAATGTGCACAGAAAGATGCCAGTGCAGAGCTCCGTTTGAGCTGACTTATAATCACAGATGCTAAAACAGGACTCCTCGGCCGGGTATTTTGGGACCTTGGATACCGAAGCAAAATTTCATGAATTGTAGAGGAGGCACCAACTGCTGGATTTGCTTCTACTTTCACACCGTCACTCAGGGATCTCTTTGTACCTGTCCCTGCCTGCTGCCCCCGAGTGATTTAAAACACCCCCAGTAGAACCGTGAGGCTAAATTGGCTCCCAGCAGCTTGCTCCGTGCTGCTGTCAGCACATCCCTCCTGCACACACGCACAACCATAGCTGCAAGGACACCAGGTGCACGAAGCACTACAATCTGAATTGTGGAGCTTCTCTGGCCACAGATGGCCTGTGGGCTGTGAGTTTGAGACCCCTGATGTCACCTGTTATTGGTAACATTTTGTATCAGTCATTCCACAGCTTTGGCCAGCATCAGTCTCAGTCTAACAACCCGGGATTCTCTCTTTTAAATATTGGTGGCATCTCTGTGGTTTGTTCTCTCCATTCCTCTGCAGAGCTACGAATGTTGAACTTCAACAGACTTTACTGAGACTGTGCTCAGGCCTGGCTGAGTCCTGGCCTCCTATTTCAGTTGATCATAATTACATTTTCAACAGTTAATACAACTATCAGCATCAGTTCCTGATAATTTTGAGTCATTGATGTTGTTAGCACTTGTTGCAAAAGCCACTAAGATTTCACTATATTATTCATTTTTCATCCCACATACAATTTTACAGCATAAAACGTATGTATAGCTACATTTATCACCTTAAATCAAGCCAGTAGAATTTCATGATAACGTACCAACTCCAGCTTCGGCTAGCACTATTTAACCTATTTATAAACTATCTGGAGAAAGCGGTAAATAGTGAAGTGACGTTAAAGATGCTGTTTGCTTAAGGCACAATTAGGTCTCTGGTGGGTTCTCTCCAATGGGAACAGGCTGATAATGCAATCCAGGAAAATGAAAACCATTTGCAACCAAATTTACGTCCTCCTCAACACATTCCATAAAGCCTCCTTCACTTCTTTATTTTTCAGAGTGTAGATGAAAGGGTTTAACAGCGGCGTCACGATAGTGTTCAGAGTGTTGACAAACTTATGTATGTCCAAAGAGCTCTGTCTGGAAACTCTGACGTACAGGAAGATGGAGGAGCCGTACCACATAACCACAACAATGAGGTGGGCAGAGCAGGTGGAAAAGGCCTTTTGCCGGCCTTGGGCTGATGGGATCTTCAGGATGGTGGAGATGATGAAAATGTAGGAGACCAGGGTTGTCAAACATGATCCCAGGATGACAATGATTCCCATGGTGATACTGACCCACTTAACCACAGATGTGTCTGAGCAGGAGAGAAAGATCAAGGAATCGGCTCCGCAGAAGAAATTATTGATGACGTTAGAGCTGCAGAAGGACAACCTGGCAACCAGAGAATTGTGGATTATCATAAAAAGGAAACCAGACACCCAGCATAAAAAAGCCAGCTGACCGGACTTGGTGCTGCTCATGAGGGTGCTATAATGCAACGGGTAGCAAATGGCCAGATAACGGTCATAGGCCATGACAGACAAGAGGAAAAATTCCGTGCAGCCCAGGGAGAAAATGACGTACATCTGCAGGATGCAACCAACAAACGAGATAGTTCTGCTTTTCCCCGGGAAAATGGCAATGGCCTTAGGCACACACGCTGTGGTGTACCAGATCTCCAGGAAGGAGAGGTTGGAAAGGAAGATGTACATGGGCGTTTGGAGGTGAGGGTGGGCCATGACTAAAGCTATTATTGCAAAGTTTCCTGTGACAGCCAAGATGTACGTCATGGTAAACACCACAGAGAGCGAAATCTGCAAATGCTGATTGCCGGGGAATCCCAGGAGAATAAACTCTTGTGCGCTGGATTGATTTTCCTTCTCTACTCCAGTCCCGGGCTCCATCTGTCAAGAGACAAGAGATGTAATTCAGGGGCAAATTTCTTACATGGATTGTTGGCCATCAGAGGAGATGTTTTCACCTAGTGACTTTGACAGAGTCCATTTACCATCAGCTCCCATTCAATTACATTCACTGTATTACTTTAGTAACTGAATCCCTTATTGGACACTCTTTTATCTTGCCTGGAATCTATATCAGCTTGACAAATCTACAGAACCATTGGCCCTCATTTTAAAAACTGACCCAGCAGATCTCTTCAGATCTCTGGAATCCCCCTGAGGTTCCAAGACACATGAAAATCAATGGTAAATGTCCAGTGAATTCTTCATCCTACATTTTTAACACTCTTGGATGTCAGTTATCTGGATCTACTGCTGTAAAAGTGTCTCATTTTTGTCGCCTCTCTTTAACATCCTGATGAAATAGGAGAGGATTTGAGAGTGTTTCAACCATTTAGCATTCCCACTAGATACCGCAATCCCTTTTAATATGTGGCCTTGAGCTGTGGTTGAAACTTTATTCCACCCAGCAACGTGACCAAATCGATTTCCCACCAATTTTAGGAACCTCTGAACGAGCAAGTGATAGTTTGTGCTGAATCCTGCGTTACCTACTCATTTCCCGAATGAGAAGCAATCAGGGGAAAGGAACACTCCTTTCTGTGTGGAAGTAGCAGCCGCCAGGAAATCCAGCACTTAGGGCATGAAAAGGAGCACACGGAATCGATTTTCCATCGCCCGCTCTTGAGTTCTCCTGGTCACACAAGAGATTCATGGAGTTAGTTAAATCACTTCCCTAGATCAGCTGGCAATGCTCCTCCTAATGTATCCTAATATGCCATTCGCCTTCTTGGCTACCAGGGCATCCTATTGACTCATCTCCAGCTTCTCATCCACTGTAATCCCCAGGGCCATTTCTGCTGAATTGTTACTTAGACAGTCGGTCCCCAGCCTATAACGATGCTTAGATGCTTTGGTCCCTACGGCAGGACTCTGCACTTGTCCTTGATGAACCTCATCAGATTTCTTTTGACCCAGTCCTCCAATGTGTCTAGGTCACTCTGGACCCTATCCCTGCCCTCCAGCGTATCTACCTCTCTCCCTAGCTTATTGGTGTCATCTGCCAACTTGTCAAAGGAGAATTTCACTAGCGACAGGCACATGCATGGAAATTTCCTTTCATAACACTAAAGCATGCAGACAGGGAAAGTAAGAAAAATGCTGCTTGAGAATTTGTTGGAGTTAATGTCCAGGGATTTATATTTCCAATGATTAGTAAAGTCCACATGACTTTATCTCGGTGGCAATTTTTGTATTTGCAGCTCTAGTTAAATTGCAGAATTCCCCAAGGACTCTGGATGAGCTGTTGAAATAAGGATATTTAGTTTCTATGGTTTTATGTGTGATGGTCACAATTTACATGTTTAAATGGTTGGTAGAGCTATTCGTTTGAATCTCAGAGTCGGCTGTCGTTTGTCTGCCAGTCTCCCCGACGTCCTAATTTTGTGCAACTATGTAAATTTAAATAAATTATAATTTGCAGCACGCCTTTTCATTTTTTAAAGTATCGTATCACTCATCAAAAGTATAAATAAAATATTGCCAAACCGATTCATTGCATAGGAACATCTCAGAGAGACTGGAATAGGAATTTTATATACATTGGTGTCCCGGGCATACTAATGTGCAGATACTCATTCATTACAATCTCCGGCTTTTGTGCCTAGCTTTTCATGAGTAGATCTCAAAGCTTTTTACCAACAGGGGCTGGATCACTATTTCCACTTCAAAACCAGGGATATTAGATCTGGTTTGTAGTTCCCTCTTTTTTAAACTCAGTTGGGAGGAGAATTGGTTGATTGTGTCTTTGCTTCAACCCCACCACTCCCCTTTGAAAATCCCTCTCCAGAGAAAAATACAGATCTTGGTGTTATTTTGAGGACTGTAGGAGCTTAGGCCGTGTCCAGACTCAGGGGTTTTTTCGGGAAAAGTAGCCTTTTCCCGAAAAAACTTCCCCTGCGTCCAGACTCAAGCCGCGTTCTTTCGAAATTATTTCGAAAGAACGCGGCTTTTCTTTCGATAGCGGTAAACCTCGTTTCACGAGGAAGAACGCCTTCCTTTGAAAGTTCCTCTTTCGAAGGAAGGCGTTCTTCAATGTAAAGAGGCCGTCTTCGAAAGAGAGCATCCAGACTCGCTGGGTGCTCTCTTTCGAAAAAGCGGATTTCTCTTTCGAAAGATCCGCCTGCAGTCTAGACGCGATCTTTCGAAAGAGGCTCTTTTGAAAGAAGCCTGCAGTCTAGACATAGCCCTGGTTCCTACTGACTCTCGAAATCTACTTTGAGAAGGTTGGGCAGACATCTATCAGGGTGATCTAGATGGTGTTTGGTCCTGCTGTGAGGGTAGAGGACTGGACTTGATGACCTCTCTAGGTCCCCTTCATGTCTAGTGTTCTAGAACTGAGCAGTGTTAGCTCATTTATTTAGAGACAGGGAAACTGAGGCACAGTTATGTGAATTTCACACAGCAAGTCAGTGACAGAGTTAAGACAATCACCAACTCCTTATCACCCATCTCCTGGAGCAAGCCACCGCTGAGATAGTCAAAGCTACCTAAGGGGCAAATTCAGAAAGGCTTTTAGGTGCCCAATGAGATTGTTCACAGGAGCTGTGTACCTAGCATAGATTAGAATCTGTTATTTGTAGTTGTATAAATGTTTCTAAATGTGTCTCTTGGTGCTTAAATACCTTCAACTAGCTAGTCCTTAGAGAAATCAGTTCCCATGGAAATGAGTGAGGGGTGGGCAGCCGTGTGGTGCTTTGGGCAGTGAAAACCTCAGCCTACTTCTAACCGCAATGGCCACTCCATGTTTACATTTGTTTCGTGCTGACTCACTCAATAGCAGCACCAAAATCTGCAAATATCTCCCTGAAAACCTCAGCCTACTTCTAACCGCAATGGCCACTCCATGTTTACATTTGTTTCGTGCTGACTCACTCAATAGCAGCACCAAAATCTGCAAATATCTCCCCCCCCCCACCTCCATGCATGCAAGAGTTGCAAAAGTGAAATGAAAGACAGAAACAGAGAAAAAATTGTGAGAGATACAGTGGAAATATGTTACAGACGGACCAATTGCTGCACATGTGAAATCTTTTCCTTCCAACCAGATATCATAGAACACTAGGACTGGAAGGGACCTCGAGAGGTCATCGAGTCCAGTCCCCTGCCCTCATGGCAGGACCAAATACTGTCTAGACCATCCCTGATAGACATTTATCTAACCTACCCTTAAATATCTCCAGAGATGGGGATTCCACAACCTCCCTGGGCAATTTATTCCAGTGTTTGACCACCCTGACAGGTAGGAACTTTTTCCTAACGTCCAACCTAAACCTCCCTTGCTGCAGTTTAAGCCCATTGCTTCTTGTTCTATCCCCAGAGGCCAAGATGAAGAAGTATTCTCCCTCCTCCTTATGACACCCTTTTAGATATGGCCCCATAGATCACATTTCAAAGTATAGAAAAGTATTTATCAATATTTCTTGGCTGCTCTCTCTCTCTCTCTCTCTCTCTCTTCTTTCTTTCTCACACTCATGCCCACGCCCACACTCATCATCTGGAGGACCGGGCTTATTAGCGTGTGCACACAGAATCTGTCAGGAGAGACCCAGTCCTTTACACCGCATCTTGTTGCTTTAACATGTACATTTCTTGGATTCCAAAGACAAAAATGCATTGCAAATGGGGCTACCATAGATTCCTTCCGATTTTAAATCCAACATATAAAGGTTTCAGAAACATCCTCCTACCTATGGCACAGATTTCTGTACCGATTCGAATCTCGCTCCGTGAGCATTTTGTCCTCCCCCGCTGCCTTTCCCCTTACCTGTTTGTGTATGGACGGCAACTTAACAATCTTACCAATAAGCCTAATTTATATTCCTCAGATGGGCCTTTGGGATTCGGTCTCAACAGAATTTTATGATTTTCTCCACAATGTGCCAGCCCCTGGCTGAGTAAGGATGGTGCCCTCGGTTAGAGACAAGTCATGGGAATTAGAAAACCTTGGTTCTGTGTCTCTGCTGACTTGCTGATGGATCACGACGCGACTGTCACAATTCCATAGTCCCCACTGTGCCCTTCTGTACAAGACAAAAGGACAGATTTGTAAAGAGATTTACACGCCTCCTGGAATTCTCAAAAAGCACCTATGAATGTAAAATCCGCTCACATCTGTTCCGGAGAGGGGCTCCTCTACTTCTTATACCCCCATCAGGTGTGTCAATACCTTTACAATTCTGGCCGTATGCAGTTGGCCCAAATTAAGAAACAACATCAAAATATCGACAAGCCATAAAGTGGTGAAATATACAGAAGCATAACGAACCAGAGATCAGGTATGTAAAGATATTCAGATGTCTGAAGTTAGGTAGATATGTACCTAGTGGGAATTTCACAAGTTGATAAGATGGTCAAATCTTAGAATAGATTCATAGAATCCCAGGGTGGGCAGAGACTTCAGGAATCATGGAATCCAGTCCCCTGCCCAAAGCAGGACCAACCCAACTCAACCATCCCAGCCAGGGCTTTGTCAAGATGGGATTTAAACACCTCTAGGGATGGAGATTCCACCCTCTCCCTGGGGAACCCATCCCAGTGCTTCCCCATCCTCCTAGGGAAATCGTTTTTCCTAGTGTACAACCTAGACCTCCCCCACTGCAACTTGAGCCCATTGCTCCTTGTTCTGCTCTAGATCTCCTTGGAATTCTCCTCGTAGTGCAGCCCAATATGCCATTAGCCTTCTTGTCTAGAAGGCCACCCTGTTGACTCAGACGCAGCCTCTCATCCACTGTAATCCCCAGGTCCTTTTCTGCCGAACTGCTACTTAGAAGAATCCCAAGCACTGGTACAGGCTGGGGATGGTCTAGCTGTCTCAAGGACAGGTCTCTGCACTTGTCCTTATTGAACCTCATCAGATTTCTTTTGGCCCAATCCTCTAATTTGTCTAGGTCACTCTGGACCCTATACCTGCTCTCCATCACATCTTTCTCTTGCCCTAGCTTAGTGTTTTCCACAAACTTGCTGAGGGTGCAATCCATACCCTCATCCACATCATTAATAAAGATGTTGAACAAAACTAGCCCAAAACCAAATCTTTGGGGCATCCCGCTTGAAACCGACCACCAACCAGACATCCGAGCCGTTGATCACTACCAATTGGGCCTGACAGTCTAACCAGCTTTCTATCCACCTTACCGTCCATTTATCCAATCCATAACTTGCTGGGAGACCATATCAAAAGCTTTGCTAAAATCAAGATACATCACATCCACTGACTTTCCCACATCCTCCGAGCCAATTACCGCATCATGACTTCCTGGGCCAAAAGCAAACTGGCCACCAGGTCCACCCCACTGTATCCTATAAGTTGATGTCTTCTAACAATAGCCCATGCATGGCATGGATTCTCTCCCAGCAGATTTCAGGATTCAGGGAGAGCACTTCAGAGGGGCTCAGGGCAGGGGGCAAGGTGATTTCTGTTGACCTCTTGAGGACTTCCATCGGAAAACTGGCTGTCAGGCCAGCCTGTAGGATTCAAGGCAAGAGACAGAGAGGGACTTGGTGGCTTGAAAGAAAACTGGCCACCAGGTTATTCTCATCAGCATTCTCCGTCCTGTATTGATGGTTCATGCAGACTCAGGTAGGCCTGGTCTGGTTCCTGGCAACAGCTTCATTTCCCATGAGGAGGTGGGGAAGGCGATATGTGGGGGAGAGGGCAAAAGTAGCCAGTGAACAGCAGGCAGCACCAAGCCCCATAAGGAGGCACAGACCCCTAGAACAGCCCTCACCCACGGGCAGCCCCCCACACACACCAGGGCACCTCTGCCACCTACAACAGCAGTACCCACATAGTGCTTGTTGTCGGGGACTCGAACCCAACGGCCTCGGTTCGTTGTCTGACCGCAAAGAGACAGGCAACACCAGCAAGGTCTGTCGCGTCTTAGAATATTCACCCAAGCAAATCAACCCACCCCCCCTTAAACTAGTTGGAAGCTTCTAGGCTGTGTCTACACTGGGCCACTTATTCCGGAAAAGCATCCGCTTTTCCAGAATAACTTGCCAGCTGTCTACACTGGCCGCTTGCTTTTCCGGAAAAGCAATGACGATCTACTGTAAAATTGTCAGTGTTTTTCCGGAAAAGCTACGCTGCTCCCTCTTGGGCAAAAGTCCTTTTCCAGAAAAACTGTTCTGGAAAAGGGCCAGTGTAGACAGCCCAGTAGTCTTTTCCGCAAAAAAGCCCCGATCGCGAAAATGACGATCGGGGCTTTTTTCCGGAAAAGCGCATCTACATTGGCCACGGACGCTTTTCCGCAAAAAGGGCTTTTCCGGAAAAGCATCCTGCCAATGTAGATGTTCTTTTTCCGGAAATGCTTATAACGGAAAACTGTTCTGTTTTAAGCATTTCCGGAAAAGGGTGCCAGTGTAGACGTAGCCTTAGTGTTTATGCATCCTTAGCTAACTATGCATCATAGCCTTGAGCAATTAATAATACATCAGCAACTTCCTTATCAGCCCAGAAGACCAGTACCAGGCAACAAGGAGACAGGAAGGTAGGAACACACGGAGGAACAGGGAGTTAAGACCTTGAGGAGACAGCTTGTTAAGATCAGGGACAGAGACAGCTCTTAAAACAAGCTGTTCCTCTTCACAGTAGATACAAGAATGCAGCTTTGCACTTATCTTACTTTTGCAACTTAAGGAAGTATGTAGGGACGTAGGGTGCGCCCCTTGCTTGGACCATGTCTCTAGTTCTGCTCAGGGACTACCCAGAAACTTTTGTCAGCTTCCTTTTGATCTGTCTTAGCATAACTGCACTAGGCCCAAATAGGCCCAGTCTTCTAGGGCCTAACATTGTGGAGCACAGGGTCCAGGGGGCAAAGCCTCATGCTTGGCCCTGGAGGGTCTGCATCCAGCCCTGAGGGTGGGCTGAGCTTTAGGGGATTGCTCCCGCTCAGAGCAGTGACCCCTGGATGCTGTAGGGGTAGGGGCAGGGTTGACCATGGGGACCATTCTCCCCTGCCTCCCCCTGCATCAGAGAGGCTCCCTGTGGGTTAATGGCTTTCTGGAGACCTGCCCATGGTGGCGTAACAAGAAGTCATACAAGGGCTCCAGTTCTCCTCTATCACCACCTTATCCCTGCTTATACAGATGAGACGATCGCATAACCGATCTCATCAAATGAAAAGATTCCTCCAGCCCTGCCGGACCAGCGACACTCCTTAACCAATGTATCACTCCGATCTTACCCAAAATGTATGCCGTTCCCAACCCTATAAAATCTCCAATGGAAAGAAAGAAAGAAAGTGCAAATTGTTAAAGGCAGCAAATACGTACAACAGTTTCAAAGATCTTGGGTCAGGCTTGCAGCAGAGATGGAATAAACAGCTGCTCACCCTACGTGCAAAAGTAAGGATGGCAGGGTGGGGTATTGCCACCTTCCTATCTGCACTGCTGCCTTCCGAGCAGGATGTGTGACCAGCAGCTGCTACTTCGTGGCATGCGGGAATTACTCCGTGGGAGGAACAGGGGGAAGGAAGAGGCAGGGGATGGGTTAGGGTGGGCAATGAGTCAGGTGGAGATCCCCAGATACCAGGGACTAGAAGGGGAGGGAACAGCCTCTTCCAGCCACCGGGATGCTGATGTGCTGGCAGCTGTCTGAGAGAGCCTGGCATCAGAACCTGCTGCTGGCAGGGAGGGGATGGGGGCGGGGAACAGAGGGGCCTGCCCACGGGTGGTCCAGCTCCAGGGCACCCCTGGCGACAGCCTCGATGCCCCAGTGCCTCGATTCCGAAAGGTGCTCTGACCAAACCGACCTTACAGAAGCTGAGCATCCACAGGGACACAATTCACGTCACTCTCACCTCCTCGGCCAGCTTTGGTTAAATCCCAAATACCATCCCCAATACGATTTGTGGGTCCCCTTCTCTGAGTGTCATTGTCCTTCCCTACCTAGTGCTGGGATACCCACCAATGCCTTTCCCGCTCATTGAATCATCAGACTGGCTCAGACCAATGGTCCATCCAGCCCAGTGTCCTGTCTGCCGACAGTGGCCAATGCCAGGTGCGCAAGAGGGAGGGAACAGAACAGGGAATCAAGTGATTCCTCCCCTGTCGCCCATTCCAGGTGCCAGGGACACAATCCCTTCCCATATCTTGGATAATAGACATCAACGGACCTATTCCTTCTGCAATTATCAAGTTGGCTTTTTTAACCCCTTTATAGTCTTGGCCTTTGCAACATCTTCTAGCAAGGAGTTCCAAAAGTTGACTGTGCGCTGTGTGAAAAAATACTTCCTTTTGTTTAAACCTGCTTCCAACTTGAAAATATAATAATCTTGCCTAGTTCTTGGAGAACATCTCCACTACGTCCCTGGGATCCCAGAAGTCAATTCCACTCCCGCTCATGCCTGGGGTTATTTTATTATAACAGCTCTGAGCCATTTGAACTCGGCCCAGACACAAGGGTTTTAGGGACAAGGTGATATCATAATTCCAACACATACCCCAAATGGCAGAGTTTATCTAGTTAACATGTATACGTCTTGAATCTACTTTGATGACAAACTCAGGGATCAGATAAGTACCAACAGCTTTTGTCTTCGCCTTACCTACATGTCAGTGGTATCCGTTCAGGGTATGCCCACTGACCTCAACTAACTCGAAAACGTCTCTTCTGTAGTGTCCATCCCCCAACCACGCCAAACCAGAGGATTTCCAAATAAAAAAACTCTTTATGTGGCTCAATGTAGACGGAATAATGGAATCTGTTATTAACACATTATTTAAAAAAAATACAGGAACGGATTGTTTTCTTTGTTTCTTTTTTCCTAGAACTTTGAAAAAACTTCAGAAAGTTGTGTCATGATGGAGGTTATGATTCAGCAGCAATCACTGGGCATGAAACCCCTGACCTCAGAGAACTATTTTTTGGGGTAATAGTATGCAACTTTTTC